ATATCCACCCCAGGTGTGGAAACACATCTCGGTGCTTATACGTATAGAAACTCCATGCACGCCCACAAGTCCCGATTTCATCCTCATGCTTAGGTGCTTCAGGGTGATATAGATGAGGACAGTGAAAACAGACTTGTGTAGATCTGAAGGGGGCTGTGGGATGGATAGGGGGGATAGGAAATATATTCTTCTGGTTGTGGATCTTACCTAATCCCTCAGAATTGCCTCTGATGTTCAGGAACATCCTTAGCACAAAAATTACAGGAATTATTTAGAACTAAAATAAAAATTTATTGAAGCATAAGGAAATGCTTGAAAAATGCATTTTCCAAACATTTATTAAGCATTAAACTTCATTAGACTTGGAAGGCAGTCTTTTTCTTTAGAGATGCTCAGGGCAACTTAAATGCCTGTAAAATCATTCAACTTGAGGATGAAGCAAGCAGCTTTGCTTGTTGACACGAGCATGCAAGAGGTAAAGTGACAAAGAGAAGGAACACCACAGCCCCAGCTGTCAGGCCTACGGACAGTGTACAGCACCAGAAAGGTCACTAACATGCTGTAAATCCACTGCAGCATCTCCAGACAATCTTGCACTGCTGAAGCTCTTGCACAAAAACCTTTGCCTTCGGGGCCAGCAGATCCTTTGACAGCCTCCCAGATGATTCTGGGACTCATTTGCTGCCATGTACCTTTTACTCTCCTTTCCCCCCTCCATAGAAGAAGTCTGGAAAAAAACAAATCTCAAGCCACAATTTCTGGGCAGCATTTGCAGTATTAGACAGGCTGGATGCCCAAGGCTCCAGCAATAACAACATGACTGGCAAGGGGCGCTTGAGGGGAAGGGGGACCTGGCATGCCAATCTGTACAACACATGCATAGATCAAGGCCAATAATCCCTCACTTCCATAAGCAACAAGTTTACTTAAATTTTTAAGTCATCTGATTAAAAACAGGAAAAAAACCAAACAAAAAACCCCACCACCAAACCTGTTGACTACTGTGGCTTAGTAGTCATCAGCTATAATTCTGTATTATAGGGTAATTAAAACACGAAAAACCTTTTACTATTTTACAACCCACACTTAACATTTTGCCTTAAAATAAATTTCAGCCACCCTCTCATAAAGTACAGAGCAATTCTGCCAAATTCCCTTCCATGCTCTTCATTTGATGGCAAAGTAACAGAGATACCATAATTTGCTTGATATTCTTTTCCTGCTAATGTTTTATTCAGACTGAGCTCCATTAATAAAGATGAAACTTTGAACTCATGATTGCTCCATGTTTACAAAACATCCAGGCTCCTTTACATCTTGGTTAAGCATGAACAATCACCAAACACAGAATTTCCTAAAAAAATCCCACATACCAAAATTGCATATTTTGAATTTTTAAAATTCACTAAACAAAATTTCACAGAGTGAACCCTAAAGTCTTTTTGCCAGGAAAGCACAAGCCAAAAATGGAAGTTGGGACCCTCCAGGAAAAAAACAAAGCTGGACCCCAACACACACATCCTTCCCATTAAACAAGCAAATAAATACACATTCATACAGAGTAATTTGCTCTAAAAATGCAGGTGCTTCAGTAATTACCTACAAATTTTAGCATAATTTTGGTTGCTCAAACAGTACTGGAGTCACAGTAAATTTCTTTTTTTTGGTGGAACTGGGCAGTGATTTCTCACTGGACAGCAGGGAACAAAAACTAACCCAGAACCTGATGATTTCGACACAAGTCCAAATGTGTTTCTCCACACAGAAAAATTACAAAGACAAGGCTGTTTTAAAAGAAAAAAAATAAACCAAATAAAGTTAGAGGTGTATATAGCAGAATCACTTTTTAATGTCAAGTATTGGACCAAGGAACGGGACAGACTGCACTGCATTTTTAAAGTAGCATGACCATCAACATACTTGAGAAACATTTTAACACTGTATATTACAACAAACTATTTAGTTCACTTCTACACAAATCAGCAAAAAAGCTAGGTGATCCAACACGATATGGCAGCTGCAAATTTAAAATGATAGTCACAGTCTAAAGCCGGAACAAAAACATCTCCAGACTTCGTATTTATAAAAAGGAATGAACGTACACACTGCGTGCGCACACATGCACGCAGACAAAAGTCTTGAGGTTTTACTTATTGCTCTTACACAAGGCTGTGAGCAGGCAAATGTCTGGATCAGAAATTAGGTCAAACATGCATTTCAGCAGGCACAAAAAGTACAGGAAATTAATGTTAACGAAACAATGTACTGTTTTACGTAATACAGGATGGTATTCTGCTACTGTAATACTTACGTCATTAATACCGGATAAACTCCAGGTCTGCCTGTTGCATAAAGTGTTATGCAGTGTGGTATTTTAACCTAATTTCTGATTTTTCTTTCATACTGCACCCTCCCTGGAGGGACCAATTGGGCAGTTTTCAAGACAACCGTTCTCTGCAATGCCAGAGAAACCTCGGCCACAAGAGCTTCAGTCAGGCAGATGCGGCCAGAAGGTGGGTAACGCCACCAGCTCTGTACCTCCAGGACCTGCTCTGTGACTGCCTCGTGTTTTGGCACAGTCATCAACAACTCGGATAAACAGATGCAGAAGTTGGTGCAAAATGCATCAGCGCTGTTCTTGGAGCATTTTCCAGCTATGCTATACGCTCCTGGTACACCCATCTGTTGCTACAGGGGATAAGGCAATAGAGGGTCGAGTCCTGTATCTGGTCACTTCCTCAAGAGTCTGATAAAGGCAAGGTTTGTGAACTGGCTTTCCTTTACACAGCAAGCAGCGTAGCATGGATGGCAGTAGAAATCTGGCTACCTACTGGCAACAAAAGTCTCACATGTTCACAAGACACATTTTGGAATACCTGTTCTTCCCTAATGCAACCAAATTAAACATGCTGCGGAGAGGTGTCCATGTCATTACAATACTCTTAAAGACAGGCTCAAGGCATACTGCAGATGGGCCTTGCACAAAAAAAGGCATTGAATGTGTTATCTGAGGATATTTATTTTTTTTTGCTGTGCTATGCATACATACGACAGTAGATAAAAATCAGCACAATGGTTCCTCCTCTACATACATGACCTGACACACATCATAACAATTAAGCACCGTATTTGCTATTCTTCAGTTAACAAGAATCAAGGAAAAAAATGGTGGTTTGGGAACAGGGAGGGGAAGAAATCCAGCATGAAGTTAGAGGTATGTTCCCAACAGAAGTCCTAGCTCAGAATGTTTATTGTGAAGCAGCAACTGGATTGTGTGGCATAACTGGAAAACTACTGATGTCTACAGAGCCAACTTGGGCTCTGCATAGTTTCCAGTGTTATAATATGCCATTGAGCATTCTCTAATTATTAATTAGAAAAAGCAGTAGGTAGATGATAAGAGGCCACGCTTCAGGGAGGTTACACTTTGTACTTGCAGAAAGAACCAGTGCAAATCAATAGCTTTTTATGTCTTAGTAAAAGGTCTGTCACGTGCCCCTTGATCCGATCCCTAAGTCTCACACAAATTTCAGCTTTCAGACTTGCCAAAGACCCAAACTCACACTGAGCTCTACCTTACCTACAAGCAGTACTACTAAAGCTAATGGGACTGCTTAGAGCAAGGTGCTACTGCAGGAATTTGGCTCTTTCCAAGAAGTGAACTGCAAATGACTGGGGTTTCATGACACTCACAGGTGCAGGGAGACCTTTCCTGTGGTTTTTTTTCCAAATCTGCCTTTACGAACAACAACAATTACAAGACTGAAATGGGGGAAAAGGCTCCATCACACTCACCCATTTTGACACCAGGACAGCCACAGTGGTTTAGGAGGGCCCACCCAGTAGAGGGTTAACTTGCCCTGGGTTCTCCTCACAGCTATGTCACTGTGTCTTACTAGATGGTTGCACATAAGGGTCCTCGGTCTCAGTTGGGATGGTGAGGCTTCCTTAAAGCAACTTGTGGGTTACACCATCCATGGGTGCACATTTACAACTCCTAGGAAACAGGGAGGCAAAATCGGTCTAAATTATTTAAAAACCATTAAGAGAACCCAACCTCTAGGAAAAGAAAAAGAAGAACAATTTTCTATCACGTTCCTGCAGGAAGGAGTCCTAGGACATTAACGGCTATGAAGGCCAGGTTGTCAGGAAGCCCTGCTGCCAGACTGAAGGTAACGCAGCATGTCCAGTGATTACGGTTTAAAGCCATCCTCCGCATGAAGCCAGCTAGGCAAAAGTGTTTTGGCTGCATTTTTAGCTATTCCTCCTAGCCCACTTTGCTTCTCTGCTTGGAAGCGCCTTCAAATAAAAGATGTTGGAAGTGACACTTTCCTGTAGCTGAAAAACATGTGGAAAAACAGAGAGGCAAACAATGCACATCACAGAAAAAAATAATTGCTTGTAAAACGCTTCCTTTTAAAAACTATTGTACAACTTCCTAACTTGGTTTAATTAATGTGCAGTTTAAAACATAAAAAATGCCTTAGCAGCTAAATGATTTCTTGATGTTACAAGTCTCTCTCCCTCCCGCCATTAAAAAATAATGCATGTATGGATTGGTATTGAACACCTTGTACAGAGTCGCACGCCAATTCTCCTTTAATTCTACATGGAGCAGTTTTGATTTTAATCTACTGTGTTTAGAGAAGAGCTCATACCATATACTTTACAGTATAACCAGCTACATAGATGTCTTTACTTCCGTAACACAATTAAAAAAATCACTGTAAATTGCAGTCCCTTTGATAAATGATTATGGTGACACATGCAGTCCTCCTCAGTGCTGTTGTTGCCAGACGCAGGACATGATTATCTCCACACGCTGCCAAGAGGCCTGATGCCACACTGAGGGGCCACAGCTGGGCCGGCACACCTGGTGCACAGCGTTCTGCAGTCTTTGGGCAAAGCTGCGGTGAATTGTCTCGCTCAATACCACCACCACCACCACCACCACCACCGACCCCACCCAGCCCCCTGCGGGAGCCCACTTCCTCTCCACTTCAGCCACAGGAGATCACTGTGAAGCGCTTGGAAATGCATGACATGTTGTGGAGGACGATGCCCAGAAGAAAGACCAGGACGCAGGCCACCAGGATCACAGTGCAAACCCCCGACCAGGTGGAGCTTTTCACAACGCCTCTCCGGTCCGGCTCCTCTGCTCCCCCCTCAGCGGGAAGGCCGCCCTGCAGCGGCTGCTGCTCCGCCGGGGTCGTCACCACCGGCAAGGACGGATCGTCACCACCGCCAAGGACTTCTGCTGGCTGCCGGGCAGGAGGCGGCAGCCAATGTCTCCAGGCAGTAGCGCCCTTTCCTTGGAGAGGGGCAAGGGCAGCATGTAGCACCCATTGCTGGGGAGTTTGATGAAGACAGGAGTGTGCTCTGAGGTGTGGGGGATTGCAATGACAGCAATCACCTCAGGGTCATCGGGCAGCTGCGACACAGAGTACCCCGGCGGCAGCTTGGTGATCCCACGGCACCAGGGGCAACGCAGGTCCTTCTGGCTGGTCCTCATCTGCTGCAGGCACACTGAGCAGCAGGTGTGCTTGCAGTCCAGCAGCTTGGGCCGCCGGCGGGGGCTGTAGTAGTTGAAGCAAATCTGGCACTCCAGCAGAGAGTCCTGAGACAGAGTCTCCATGGTGGCTGACACAGGGAGGCACGGCAGGCCTCGCAGCAAGCCTCGCTGAAGCCAAGGGGCAGCACTCGCCTTCCCGCTGCTGATTCTCCTCAGGGCAGCCCCCACCTTTCCACCACTGCTTCTCCTCAGGGCAGCACCAGGCAGCAGCTATGGAGAGCACGGGATGATCGCTGGCCTGAACCTTTCAGTACCTGAGACAAACAAAAAAACGTGAAGGAAGAAGTTAGTGACAGGAACCAGTGGAACAAGAGTCCAACTAAGGGGGAATGAAAACTAGCTCTGACCTCGTAATCTGGTGGGAGAAACAAATTTGCAACCCTGAACAAGAAAGCATCTTCCCACTGGCTTCACCAAACTGCCCAGTGGAAAACTTTCAGGTCAGCCATCACTAGGTGATCTTTTTTTTTTTTCCCCAGCTATAAAATCTTTACCAACTCTCCAGTCCACTGCTCAGTTATATTTACACCTGTAACAGGGAAGGCTGTAGTTCAGTAAGCAGGTCCTTCAGCATCTACCTCCTGTCATATTTTCAGGACTTATCAGCCCTCCATGCACCTTAACAATTGTTCTCATTTAATCCTTTAAACCCCTGAGGATTTTTAGCTATTTGGCTCAACCACTAAGTCTGCATGAAAGGTGGGGGAAAGAAAAAAAAAAAGTTTAAATAGATGCATTTCCACAGGCTCCTGAGCTTACGCCTGTGCATGAATGAGCAACCAAGTAACTATACTGAAACATCCACATTTGTGCACAATGAGAAGGAATGACATCGTTTTCAGTCAAATTAACTGTTTGCCTGGTTACACAAGCAGCTTGTTAAACATGGCCCTCCGAAACATAAACCTACTCACTGATGAAAACTTCACCAGAGACAAAAGGCTCTGTTTAGACCCAGGATCACCAAATAGAGAACAATCTGTTAAGGCACTGAATTAAAGGCAAATTGTTACTAACCTTGTTCTGAACTATTCCTTAGAAAGGAAGTCTTTGTATTTCCCCACTTATTTCTTGTAGCTATGAAAGCAACAGCAAAAAAAAAGCACCTGCGTTTACTCTCACTGTGGGAGTTGTTTAGCTTTGTTTGATTTTGGTCATTTCAATGTATGATAAATACGAAGGGGTGACATTTCTATAACTTTTTACATTGCCTTTCTTGCTGTATTTGAAGAAGTATCAGCCTGAATTTGCATCCAGAGAATACAATAAAGAAAACCCAACATATTTGTATGGTGACCTCTGATCTTCTGTTATTGCAGTGTTATTCCCAAAACAGAGTTAACAGCTGAGGACCACAACTGAGGACTTCTTCCTTCCTATGCAATTACATCTTGCTCTTCCCCTTGAATCATAGCAACTAGGTTGCAACATGCCAATCGATGGGTAGCATCAGTAAAACAGAAATAACGTAGTTCAGGAAGAGAAGGCAGGCACAGACGTGGGGTCTGCCATGCAGGACAGCCCTCTGGACCACACTGTCCCATATTCCACTTCTGACAGTTACTGTTATTTGAATAGGGAAAACCTAACACACGTCATCTCTTCAGATGCTAACGACTGGTATCACGGACATTGGCAGAACTGGCCCTGCTGCTGACGTCGTAACAGCAGTGGATTTTGGCTCACAAGGCGCTTCAGCAAACACGCAGCAGCAAACAATCCTGACTCAAGGGAGCAGGGGCTGCAGTGACAAAGACAGACATGCGGGAAATGGCTGCAGGGGGAAGCGGCACGTGCCAGCCACCCAAATGGCACTTTTGGGATGCCTGAACGCGGCACAGAGGCCACCACTGGGAGAGACTCCCATCAGCACAAAGCCAGCACGGGTCTGCGGGACACCTGCTCTGTACCAGCACTGCCTAACACATGGCACTGTGTGACACACCGCATTAACAGATACTCCTTGTGTGGGGGAGCCACACCGAGGAAAAGTGGAAGAAAACGAGTAGAGGTTTTATCTTCTTTATCCTCTCCTTCCTGTTACTATCGCCACATCCCTACGGTACAAGCAGGCACAAAGGAAGACTGTCAGAAAGGGGCATTATAAGATTAGTGTGCAGCTGAGAGAGAAAAATGGAAAAGAGCTATCCACAATGCTAGGTGATTCCCAGCTGATAAACAGTAAGAGGCAAAGGCCAGATTAGCAATTAGTTATAGGAAGCCAGGAAGGAATCACTGAAGCCGTCAGATCCAGTTTTCAGCCAGAAGCAACCCAGCGGTTTTATATTTTGCACAGAAGTATCCATACAAAATCTTCACAATTATGCACTGCCCAAGCCAGACTTGAGCTCAGACATTACAAGATGCAACTCTGATTTGCTGGATCTGCAAATCTATCATAAAACCCCAGGTATAACAATACTGCAGTAGTATTATGAGAAAAAGCTCCAACGCCTGGAAATTCAGAAGGTAAAGCTTATGTTTAAAAACAGGGTGGAAGTACTCCTTCTGCAGATGTAAATCAGTATTGATGCATAGAAGCTCTGCCCTCCACATTTTGGATGGCAATGAACTGACTGGTGAAGTTCTCTGACCTCATTTAGCTGTCACCTACAACCACCTCTCTTCACTCACAGTGCTAAAGGTAAACCAGATTCTACTGATGTGAATGTCATTGGGATCAAGATCATTTTTCTGACTGCGTATCTTTGTCCAGGAGTCATATACTCATGCACTACACCACGTCCCTCATCTCTGTCCCAATAACATCCTTACAGAAGAAGATCAGTGCTAGGAGAGAATGAGAATCAAATCCATCCCAATGAGAACTCCTTGACTGGTTTGAACGCTAAGTAATGCTGTGAAGCATTTCTCCAGGAGGTCAAAGTTCTAAAGCATTAGTGCGAACTATAGGAAGAAAAAGGAAAATAATAGAGCCAAATTAAAAGGTTAAGATAAGAGTTTACCACCTACGTGACACACATTGTTCAGATACATGCAGATATATTTGCAGAAGCTGTAAATATAGTGACATCCCTATTTTGACCTGGTGCTGAATCAAGGAAATAGTCACTTCCAACTGTGTGTTTTGAAGTTGCACTTTTTTCCTTTCCTTTTTTTTTCTGAAAGAACAACTATAAACATTATTTCAACTAAAAAGGTTGCATTGGGCATATACCTATGCCAAATTATGACATTTCTTATTTTCCCAAAATGTCTCAAATAACAATCAGAGGTGTATTTTGACAGATCAGTGGTAACAACCAGTAAGCAGAGAGGTTAGTAGGATTCCTTCAGAATACGTCTAAAGACAAGTTAAAGAGTAGCCACAGCCACCTCACCCCTTGGCCTTGTTCAAAGGTTGAACATGTAGCTTCATAGGTGCAATGCAACTTTATTCTCAACTATATGGAAAGCCCTGCAACCCTCCTGCACTCTGCCACGGCTCGACTGGGGGATAAAAGAAAGTCACGCCATCATCTACAGTCAAAATTAAACTGCATAATATCTATTTGATTCATTTTGCAGTATGCAGTTAGGAAGGAAAAAGCCACAGGAGCTCTCTCAGTACTCTTCTACCACTTCACTTTTATAACTATGCCAAGGTTTGATACTGCAGCAGACCTCCTCTTGGACAGGGGACTGAACTGTCTAATTTGTGCTCAGCGCAGGTCCACACCAGTTGGAGGTACTGAGCTACCTCAGGTGAACACCTCGCTCAAAGCTTACTTACTCAGGCTAGGTTCTTCTCAGCGCTTTGAGCACGAAGACCAAGAGGCAGCCGGGCTGCATGTGAGGGCATGGCTGGTATCAGCATCAGCCAAAAACATGGTTTTCTCATTATTTGCCCTCCTCCCCCAGTGATGCTCAAGGGGGACAAGGGGACTGTTGACAGGAAAATGGGGAAAAGTCAGAAAAGACCATCATGGATATCTGTAGGTCTCCACAAGAGAGACAGCACTTATGTATGTGCAGATAGGGGTAAGAATGCGGAAAGGAGGGCTGAGGACAGTGAATCCATACACACCGACAGAGGCAACTGCGACTAGTGACTCTGCCTGGCACAAACCTGACAGCAACTGGAAGCTCTTCAGGGCTGAGATCTAACTAGTAACACAAATGGCTCCAAAACTCAAGTGTCAGAAAGGTGCAGCAGGAACAAAAGAAGCGGGAAGAAACAGGCCCTGCAAAGAAGCATGGGGAAACATCTCTACCTCCTCACCGCCTTGCCCTTGCTGTGGGTCTGCCCAACATTTACAGGGCTGCCGCTGGCTGGCAAGACAAAATTCGCAAGCAGTTACAGAGACCCAGAGAGGAACCTGCAAAGCTGATGATCCCAGCAGCAGCAGATCAAAGTACAGCCAGGCGACTGAGAGCAGGGCACAAAGGTCCTCCTTGCATATTTGGGCTTGCCCTCTGCACAAGCCAAGAGTTTTTAAGACTTGAGAAATTATCTCCTGACTCAAGAGCAATAAAGGTCTGAAGAATAAAACTGATATTTCAGCCGCTTGTCAGTCACACTGTCTGTTCTGCTGGTACCTTGTCAGTGGCCAATGCAGAGCCCCAGGCTCTCTTTTTTTGAGTAGGCAGGA